AAAAATCTCTGTACTTCCTTGACGGACGTGGGTGTGGGCCATGAAACTACTGCTTCCACTTTGTGGTCGTCCATGATGACACCCTGCTGACTAATGACATAGCATAGAAAAGAAACTGTTTGTAGGTGGAATTCACACTTCTCTCCTTTCAAAAACAAATTGTTCTCGAGAAGCCGTTGTAGGACGGCTCGAACATGTTGCACATGCGAGAATGTCATCCAAATAAGTGATGACATACTGCCCCAACATATCCCTGAGTACATCATTAATGAACACCTGGAAGACTGAGGGGGCGATAGAGAGCCTGAAGTGGTCCCCTAGTGGTCAAAAAGGCTGTTTTCCATTCATCCCCTTTCTTACCTCTGATTAGGTTATACGCACTACGAAGATCTAGCTTGGTGAAGAACTTTGCTCCTTGTAGTTGTTCTAGAGCTACGGGTACCAAGGGAAGGGGATGCGGGTAAGCTTTGAAACTTGATTGAGGGCCCTATAATCAATGCAAGGGTGTAAACCGCCATCTTTTTTCTTAATAAAAAAAAAACTGGACGCTATGGGTGATGTCGAAGGTCTGATAAAACCTTGGTCAAGGGCCTCCTGTATATATACACATCACAAGCTTTTTGCTCTTCTTGGGTCAAAGGATAAACTTGGTATCATAGGGTCGATGGGGAGGCAGTTTGGTGGGATTCTGTTTATCTCCTTTAAATCAAGGTACTCTGGAGGGATTTCAAATGTGGAGTCTGCATTTGGGCTTTCTATGGAAGTGGACAATACTGCTATGGCAGGGTCTAAAAGGCAGGATCAGTGACAGTTCTTGGACCATTTGATGATACTGTGGTCGGCCCATGAGATGATGGGGTTGTGCTTCTCTGACCAAGGGAGTCCTAAGATTAATTCAAATTCGGATTGTTCAAGGACCAAAAATGACAGAAAATGAGTCTCTTTATGAAGGGCACTCGTTTGTAACCCCAGGGGTTTTTGATCTGGGATATGGTCCCCATTCCAACTGGTCCTCCATCGAGTGCGGCCACCCTCAGTTCACTCTGAAGATTTTCCACTGGGACCTGAAGTTTCTCCACAAGCCTGGCATGAATGAAGTTTCCTTCTGCCCCGGAGTCGATTAAAGCTGAAATGACGAGAGTGGGGATGAAAGTATACAATCACAGGTAACATAAATGATTTTGAAACCAACCCCTTTGTGGGCACACACACCACATTAGCACGTGTCCAGGGGTTGGCGCTTTGCTTTTTTGTGGTCTGGCGTGGCACTCACGAACTTGATGTCCCACCTTCCCACAATACAAACACAGCTAGTTGGTTAACCAGCATAGTCTCTTTTCCTGTGAGAGCCGAGAGGAATCACACTGCATGGGTTTGGTAGTTTCCCCATGCTCCGGACTGACTCGCGGAAGTGTCTTTCTAAGACTTTTCACCACCTTGGTGTTGCTTCAGAAGGTCAGAAGGTGATCAAGGTTGATAGTCAGAGTTATCAGTTGATCGAGCGTTAAATCATCATCTTTGGTGGCTAGCTCATTAATGATTTCTGCGTTCAATCCTTGGCGAAACGTCATGAGGGGAGCCGCCTCATTCCAGCCACTGCTCGCTGCCAGAGTGCGAAACTCTAGCGAATAATTCACCACTGAATGATTCCCCTGACAAAATCTAGTTAATAACTCCCCACTATCTTTACCCTCGTAGGGGTGATCAAACACAGTTTTAAATTCTCTCAGAAACTGATTATAGGATAAATGGTGAATATGGGTCCAACTGGCGGTGGCCCATTCTAAAGCTTTGTCCACTAAACGAGACACAATGAAGGAGATTTTCACTTGGTCTGAGCTGGCTGGGGAATTAAAAAAAAAAACGGAACACTGGAGCAGAAACCCGCAACACTTATCTGGGTCTCTCTCGAATTTATCTGGTTTACTAACCGGAAAAACCGTGGTAGTTGCAGCGGCTGCTGTCGTGGGTAGATGCGGGCTGACTGTAGGTTCTGTTAGGCTCATGGTTTGGAGTTGTCCCGTCAATCCCTGCACACTAGCAACAAGTTGAGCCAGCTGGGCTTGTTGTTCTGCCTGTTGGTGAGCTAATGACTCTAAGGAGTGAGTCACTCTGGTTAGAACCTGCTGATGGTGACACAGGAGTGTCTGTCTGATACCCAAAGTATCAGAAGGGTAAGGCAAAAAGGCAAAATCCAAATAAACAAAGCAGTGGTCATAAACAGAATATCAGCAAACAGAATACAAACGCTCAGTAGTTCTCAGGGAAAACAATACCTAGCAACTATTCTACCTATAGACTAAATACACAGGTGCTACAGATTAGTATTCAGGGGATTGAGATCTCTGATAGGCGTGCGTCCGCGAGTCGGGGCTCACGCGAGTTCCCCGAGCATTTCGGGTAACAGAGTCCGTATCGGCCTCCGATTCTGATGGAAGTTGTGCAGTGATGCAGTCTCCTTTGGGATTCTGGGAGATGGAGTCTGTTTCCTTTGGACAGCTTGCTGAATGCGTGATACCTTCATGAAGGAGTCTTTTGATTGTAGACTTTGATAACTGATATTGTGAATGGGGTTTTTCTTCACAACAGAAAGAAAAATATCATCATCCACTTTAATTCTCTTCCATGGTCTTCCAGGCCTTTTGATGTTGCTGAGCTCACCAGCTCCTTCTGTTTAAGAATGTACCAAATTGTTAATTTGGCCACTGATCCCAGTTGATTTGACCACTGCTATTCACTGCTATTTGACCACTACTTTTCACTACTATCTCTCTGACAGACAAGTTTTGTTTTTCAACCCTCCACTTGCATCGACACCTCTTTGGATTGCATGATTCCATTGTAAATTAAAGTGTGATTCCGTTGTCACTTGCTAATTATGTCGGTAGTGTAAGGCCTTCAGTCCACTGTAGCGGGACAAGGCCTCAAACGCACCTAATTTCCCACTTACCGTAAGACACTGGTATTTTAATTAAATTCAAGTGAGGGCTTGACCATGGTCCAGGGAACAGAACTGAATTGAAGTATTTCATATGCACACCATGACAGAGATGACTGTAATAAAGGGTTATTTATTGATAGAGGTATATAAACACAAAGCAATCGATTACAAAGGTATATAGGTACTAAATATTGGATTACTAGTTATGGAAAGAAACTGGAGATACTGAATATACTGAACAAAAGTACTAAGATTAGCTGATTTTCCAAATTATGTGGCTTTTGAGCAGCAAGCAGAACAACCCTAACACTAGTGTAAAGTTGGCCTAAGTGTCAATAAAGAAAAGCAAAATCACAGTGAGACTGAGACCACAAAAGGGCAGTGCGAGTGAATCTGCGACCTGGATGCCTCAGAGCTGCGGTGATGCGCGTGTCGCGTTGAGGGGAAGAGAGGCCGCTGCTGGCATGGGCTGGAGCAGGGTCCGCAGGTCAAAGGTCAAAGCTGCTGGACGCCTCAGAGCCGGGTTGATGCGGGTGCCATGTCGAGGAAGAGGAGCTGCTGCTCACACAGCCTAGGAAGGGTCTGCAGATCAAGGCGAGGCCGCTGGAGGTGCGAGACCTTGGTCGACGATTTGGACTGGCAAGGCAGGCTTCTTGCAATGCTTGGCAGTCTCTCTGTTGAGGAACGCAGATCTTCTGCTTGGCAATGGAGGCAGACAGTGGTCAGAGCAGGCTCTTGATGTGGATTTCAGTCAGCACTGTTTTGCCTCTGTTTCTGTTCTAAAACTAGGTTCTGAGTGGCCTATCGTTGGCAGTTAGACTTTCAAGATGGATTCACGAAACTTAGCTAGATGCAGCTCTTCAATAGTCTAACCTTACAGTTACAACACTAAGATTACTGAGTAAATGAAACAAAACGGATTAAGACACAAGACAAACAACTAACATTTAAGATCTGCAGAACTTACCTTAAGTGCAACAGGCTAGGGATCTAGGGATCTCAAGCATGGACCCACAGCAAAACGAGAATTACCACATCACCACCGTAAGGACTTGTGCTTATAAGGAACCCAAGAAACTTCTTGCTTTGTCTGCTTGATTATCAACATTAATATAATCTGTAAGCAATACTACTTGTTTTACTAATCTTGTTATTGTGTATTACCCAAATATTACCTGTATCTTTTTCTACTATTAAGTACTAGAAATACATGGTGTATAACTTTGATAACAGTCAGACCCAACCATTTAATTGCTATAAATTTAGACCATTGACCAATATGTATCTTGAATGTGGTTTTCTTTTCTTTTCTTCTTTTGTTCCTTTTCTTGTATTGTCGATTTTATTTCTTCATGCATTTGGATATTTAGATATTATAGGCAAATATTACCTGTGTTCTTTAACATGTGTTGTGTATCAGGTAACAAGGGTTAAACTCTCTCTTAGAAACATGCCTGAATATCCTAGTTGTTCATTCTTTGATCTTGAAAGTTAAACCAATTTTGATGATATAGGAATGTTTCTTTTTCTTTGTTCAAAACTAGCTGAAACAAAGGAGGCAGTGATTCTGGGGAAGGCATTCCTAAAATTATGCACAACCAATCAGAGTTGGAAACAATGGGTAGCTAGTTAACCTTAGGTGAGGAGAACCTATCAGCACTCTGGCTCCACCTCCAAAGGGTAGGGCCTCCAGCCGAGCAAAACCAGAGTGCACTGCAAATTTCATTAGTTCAGTTCAGAGTCCTGCATTCTCAACAAGAGGATAGCTAAATAAAGTTTGTGCCGGCCTTGGTCGAAAAGACAGGTCAGAAGTATTAGAATGCTAAATTTTCAGATCTGAAACTTTTGCTTGTTTTGTAACTTGCCTGTTCGTCTACACACCTTAAGTTTAAACCACCCTCAGAGAAGGAAGGTGGATGTTTCTTGTCTGGCCAGGGAGAATATATCCATAACTTTTGATTCTGCTAAAGAGAAGTAGTTAGTTAAATTAGTATCACCAGCCTCAGAACCCTGATTGCAACCTGAACCTCGCCAGCGGAGTGGGAGTGGTTCTGACGCCATGGAGACCCAGCATCGCACCCAGAACCACGCACTGATCTGTGAACAGCTCAACCATCGAAAGGCTGCCCAAGCTCCACCGTCAGACGGCCACGAGACGCCTCCACCCAATCACTGACGGAAAGGCGCATGCCCGCATGGAGATGCTGTATCCACGGCCAGTGAGATGAACCACCGCGTGAGTTCCAGATTTCGATCGAGTCCGTCCTGAGACGACCCCTCTTGAAGTCAGCCCCCGACTCCAACGTAAGCTGGTTCCATCAGTTTGCAGTCAGGGCCCTGACGCCAATTTATTTAATAAGGGAACTTTTAATAGGTACATCCAGCCATATAGTTATTCCCATCCATACTTAGTTTAATTCTCTAGAGGCTCTCCCAAGCGACTTCCCAAAACCACACTGCCTCATACCATTTAGCCGTGAATCACTCTAACTTATATATATATAGGAAACATCCACAGAAAATTCTAGGACACTGCACTATTTAAAAAAGGGCTGGGGTTTTAAGTTAGTTACCAGTCTGTCTTTAGATTTTTTTTATTTTAAATAAACTTCTAAAAGTAAGTTAACAGAACAAAAATCTGTATTAATCTGTATCTGTATCTGTAAGTTTAATTAACTCAAAATTTATGGCAGCCCAAACACTAACTCTTTAAAGTTAAAACTTCTTTTTTTCAGTGTAGGCACACACTAACAGCAGTGAAAAAAGCTGTTTTTAAGCCTAAAGCTCGACTGAAACTGCATCATCAGGATGCATTCCAGCATCACAGCTGAACAGTGTTTATATGATAGGGCTTTCTTACTGAATCCTGTACACTTTATCTGATCACTCATTTCACAACATTCCAACATTAATGCAGGACAGAAACTACATGGCATTGTGAGAAAGAAATGAGAGGTTAAAAATATTGGTTCAAAGAGTTTATGTGATCTAAATTTGAAGGATTATTACATTTTTAAACAGCATTTGTTTATTTCACTCAAGCTGAAATTATTTACAGTGTAGGTAATTATTTTGTTCACTCCTACTCTGTGCAGAATGAGGGTTTTGCTTGCCGTCGCTGCTCTTCTGGTTGTGGCCGGTGCAGCCAGTGTCTCTGTGGAGGATCTGGAGTTCGATGCCTGGAAACAGAAGTTTGGTGAGAAATCTACATCAAATCTGCTTCTGTATAACAAAATCTCCACCTCCATTAACAACTCTCCATTGGACAAAAGTATTAGACTAAAATCACATATATTATTTATAATACTTAGCTGTATATATATGAAAGAATTGGATTTTAAAGTCTATTTATTCAAGCAGTGTGTTTATTTGTTTGGTGTTTATTTGTTTGCTTTGTTTGTATAGAATCACAAACACCCAAAAACCCTTTCCATGATTAAAGGGTTCTCTGCATGGTGAAATGGTTCTTCAGACTGATGTAGAATGTGTTGTATATGGTTCTATATAGCACCAGAAAGGGTTCTGCTATTGTGACAATGTCAAGCTTGTAACGAAGAACACATTTTAATGCTATATAGAACCATTTTCAAAAGGGTTCTATATAGCACTGTCTACTGCACATTCTCCATCATTCTGAAGAACGCTTTCACCATGCGGAGAACCCTTTAATCATAAACGACATCATAAAAAAGCAAAAGAAAAGAAGAGTAAAAACACTAATTGTCACAGACAATGAACACTAATTGTAACAGAAAATGAGAAAATGTATCAAAAACAGGTGTTTTCCCACCAAGGTCATTTCTAAATTCCTCTGCACATTTCCTCTCAACATTTTATTTGGAGTTTTTAGATATTCTAAACAGTCTTTCACATGAAATTCTTCGTGCCTAAAACCAAACAAAAAACTATATTCTAAGCGAAAACAAAACATTCTGTGGGAATCATTTTGTGCCCTGATAAACGCTGTTAGAGCTCTGCAGGGCTTGGCCAAATATCAGCTATATTTTTACACTTACAGCTCCGAGCTCAGGTTGGATTTAAGCTACTGTACTTGCTTTTATTAATTAAAATGATTATTATTTTTTTCCAGTTTTTGTCTTTCTTTATCTTTTTATTGCGCCGCTCTCTCTTTTTCAAAAAACGTTCTATATAGAACCATCTACAGCACATTCTCCATCAGTCTGAAGAATCTGAAACTTTTACTTTTTTACTCGCAGCTTATACTTTTCATGATATGTTCAGGCCCATTTCCTCCTCAGCATAAAAAATGTTTCCTCTCAGGTAAGAGTTATGGTTCAGTTGAAGAAGAGTCTCAGCAAAAGATGTTCTAGCTGGACAGTCGTAAGCTGATCCTGGAGCACAACATGCTGGCTGACCAGGGCCTCAAAAGCTACAGACTCAGCATGAACCGCTTTGCAGATATGGTGAGATCTTACATACACAGTTCACTGAATCTTTTCTTCAGCTCTGTTTATTATGTGCTGTTCAGTAAACATGCTTGACATCTGGATTGTCACAATCCTCTCACCATCGTCTTCTCCAACAGGACAATCAGGAGTACCAGCAGATGTTTAAGGGCTGCCTGGGATCCTTCAATGAGTCAGAGATCGAGAGTGAAACTACATTCCTTCAACAGGAAGAGGGTGCTGCTCGGCCCAGGAATGTGGACTGGAGGGCTAGGGGCTATGTGACCAGAGTTAAGGACCAAAGTCACTGTGGCTCCTGCTGGGCCTTCAGTGTGGTGAGTTACAGAAGGACAGGTAAAGAGGGAGAACAGGATGGAGGGATTAGTTAAAATAGCAGTGAGAGGTAAGGCCAAAAATGTGTGACAGTGCAAGTAAACCTACCTTTTGAGCTGGTTGTTATACTGGGATGTTCCCTTAGTTTTTTTATTTAGACCCATCTTTAAGAACCAAAGTCAATCTGAAATATTTTTTATTCTGCAGGAGAAGCTAGAACATGAAATTCAAATATTAATTTTTACACTGCTTATTAATATTTAGATTGGGTTTTATAGAAAGATTTGGGCATAGATGTGAACTGTGGTGTTTATGTCATCTCTCAGACAGGAGCACTAGAGGGTCAGATGTTCAGGAAGACAAGGATGCTGGTACGCTTAAGTGAACAACAGCTGGTGGACTGCTCTGGGAGATATGGAAACCGTGGCTGTCATGGTGGTTGGCCGCACTGGGCCTTTAAGTACATCATGTACAGTGGAGGCTTGGAGACGGTGTACACCTATCCATATCAGGCCAAGGTGAGGCTACAGTATTTAATAATGCCAAAAGTAAAAAATAAATAAATTTGTCCTTACACCAAATGTAGCTAATATATCTTAATTGTCTGAAGTTTGCTTCTTTAGTTTTGCAATAAAGCTACAAAGCTAATTGACTTATGAAGGAATGAAAGCCAACTGTATGCCCATTAGCATGGTGCTAACCACATAAATTCTGTCCATATATTTTGCCCATTTTTATAACAGTTTAGCAAACAGCTGTGCGATGATTTGGCATGCAGTCTGCACAGTGCTAATTGGTGGGGTCTTAGTTAGCCTCATAACTCCAGTGAAAGTTTTTTTTTTTGTTTTGGCACAGTTCATCTACATTTGGGGTGAAGGGAAAATTTTGGAAATTTGATTTTTTGAAAGTATCTTTTTGAACTTTGAACCAGAGAGTTAGCAATCCATCCTGATTGTTTCCATCTCTCTTCAGGAAGGGTACTGCAGGGTTAAAAAACAGAGAGCTTGGGCTAAGTGCTCCGGCTATAGAAAGGTGTGTCACACAGAACGCGCTCTGAGGAACGCTGTGGCCACAATTGGACCTATTTCTGTAGCTATAGACACCTCCCGACACAGCTTCCAGTTCTACAAGTCAGGTAATCCTCAGAAAACAGTCCCGCGTGTACTCTCGACCATATTCTTTCTAACAGCAGCACAAAGATTTTTCTTAGCCACATTAGCATTAGCATCTCGGGGGGACATAAACTGCAGCATTAACAACGCAGGTAAACTCTTGTGGAATACAGATAGGTCTGCACTTAATAATCAGGAATTCCAGATCAGCAGAGTAGTGGTTATCAACAACGACAGAGTCCATGCACCATGCTTTGTTTACCTACATAAGTAGGTATGTAAGAAATTTTAGGAACCTAAATAAAAAATTAATAAAAAATTATTTCAGTAAATGACAGCATGAAATACCACAGTGAGGCCCGGAAAGAATGAGAATACTTGTAACTTTTAGGCAGAGGTGTTATGACACAAGCAGAGGCCACCTCCAATATTCCCTAGGGAAGATTGTTCTATTCATAAAAGCAGCAGCAGTCCTACATAATGTACCAAAAGGCCAATCTCCTGGACCCTGAGGTGGGTGATATTGAAGGCAATATTGAGGAAGATGCAGGTCCATAGCTGGTGGAACCCAGCCTAGGGCTCAACTTGAGGAGCCAGCTCATTCAAAGAATCTTTACAGATTAGGAAAGTAAGACTAGTAGGACTAAAATCAAATTATAAATAATTTTGGAACATGAAAATAGATAAATATTTCATTGATATAGTTTATTCAGTTAGCATGGACAATAGATACATTTTCAGTTGTAATCATTAAACAGTACGAATGAACAGTAGGTAGGTAATTCTACCAGAAATACTCCAGAGACAAATGTGAAGGAAGATAAAATACCATATCTAAAATAATACCTAATAATAACTAAAAATTCAATAGATAACAAGTTTTGTAAGTTAAAGTTTTTGGTGCAGGCCCTGTCATCAGCCCAGGTCTTCAAACATGTAGACCATCACAGATCCTGCGGCAGGGGATGGAGCCTATCCCCTGGGCAACTGGGTGGGGACCAACTGGTGGTAATGGAGAGGAAGGACGGGAACGATGAAACATCAGCATCTGAAAGCAGCAAAGCAGACGTGCAAGTCGAGTCGTTTTAAAGACAGGTGGAAGCTTGTGATTGGTCAGAGTAATGAGTGATGTAGCATTGGAGTCTCCCTGGCAGTACTTGCGCTAAAGCTTTCATTAATCAATAAAACAATTAATAAAAAATAAGATAAATAAAAGTCAAACAATATAAAAAAAATTCTAGATTTTCTGACTGCCCTTTTTGCACAACCTCGGTGAGATCTCTCCAACTGCAGTCTCTCCCTCTCCAGCTTCTCCCTCTCTGTATCAAGCAGTTGTGCAGCTGGATTGAGGTGTTGACTTGTACAGTAAAACCAGCCAGATATATTTTGCAACCAATATAGCTTATGTATTTCATTGTCACTGGCAAGGAACTAGATTTATTATAACTAAATAAATGCATGCATATAAGAAAACCAAGTTTAAAGAAAATGAGGATTAAATTACAAGAGTGTGGCGTCTGATGACACTCTGACAAGCTCTCCTCCTCCATGTCTGACAGCTGTATTGTTGTCATGGCACTATGACAAACTTGAAGCTCCAGCTCCAGTCCCACCTTGTAACTGCCAGGATTGCCTGAATTAATAACAATTATGTCTATATACTAACAGAAGAACTTTTAACTTAAAATCCAATGAACCAGTAGTTCTTTTAACATCAGCTGAACATGATAATAATATTGTGTTTGGAAAATGCTTGTCCACATTAATGCACCAAGACAAGGGAAGGGAATGGACACAGATGCAGAGAAGGTGCCTGCGGTGTCAGGACTTTATTGGACTGCAGAATCAACAACAACAAAAAAAATAATTTCACGAGTGAAACAAAAAAAGTAATAGTTCATAATAATAATGTCTATAACAAAAGTAATCCAAGGTCAAATAAAAAGGAATAGCAATGTATTTTTTTGTTGACGGCGAAATTATTGTGTCTGAATGGCTCAGCATAGGAGCATCCAGGGACCACCACCCTTTTCCCTTATCTTGCTTCCTTGTGTAGCAACATTTTCTTTTCTAGTTTCAATTGTGAGACTAATAATTGTTTTTTTTAACTGATAAATTCCTGACACTGCAGACACCTTCTCTGCAATCTAAGTTCATTCCCTGTCCTTGTCTTGGTGCATTAATGTGGACAAACATTTTCCAAGAAAAAAATATACTTAATATTTTCAACTGATGTTAAAAGATATACCAGTTCATCAGATGTGAAGTTGAAAGCTCCTCTGTTTTGTTAACCATACAGCAAATATTTGTTTGTTATGTTGTTCTGGCTTCAACAGCTCTGTGTGTCATCAGTTGTTTGGTAACAGATATGATAGTTTATTGTCAAGTAGATTAAGATCAAGATTTCCTAACTGGAGATAAGATGCTGTAAGATAAGATGAAACCTTGAAGATGTGGTGAGAACTCACACATGCAAACCCCAGTGTTTGTATCAACTTCATCATTTGGGAAGTAGGCCTAGTACAGCATCAGAAAGGCCATGTGCAACATGACAGTCAAGTGTTTGCTCAAACTTGTGGTTTTAGTGACAGGGAGTGGTGTTCTCATTAGGCTGAATGAATAACTGGCTCTAAATGTGGGTATTGTGATATATACTGAGTCTGTTCTATAGTTTCTCATTAAGTCAAATGAATAACTGACTCTAAATGTAGGTATTGTGATATAAACCGAGTCTGTTCTACAGTTTCTCATTTGATTTAATGGTAACACTTTATTTGGAGTGGTCCTTTGTCGATGATTAATAAACACTTAACAGATTATCAGTTACACATTAACAACATATCAGTGAAGTAGCAGTAGTGAAGCATCTGAATACACTGGACCAAATAGCTTGTAGATGTTCTGATACATTATTTACATTAAGTAGATGTTTTGTTAATATGTTACTTCCAATACGCAAAACCTAACCTTACCCAACCTTACCCAAAACCTAACCCTCACTCTGGCCCTAATCCTAACCCTAACTTTAACCTCAACCCAAAACCTAATCCTAACCCTAACGTCAACCTCAGCCAAAAACCTAATCCTAACCCTAACCTCAACCTCAGCCCAAAACCTAATCCTAACCCTAACCTCAACCTCAGCCCAAAGCCTAATCCTAACCCTAACCTCAACCTCAACCTAAAACCTAATCCTAACCCTGTTTTTGACATTTTGCTGGTTAAAACTAAGGATTCGGCTGACTCATAGGTGGTCATTACCCAGCCATTAAAGCACATAACGCCAGTGACACATAGAAGTCACGTGCTGCCTTATAAACAGAATTATTAATAAATTAATTAAATATAGTGAGCAAGTGTTGAGTTGTCTTCTCGTACCTTGAGATGCTTCCTCTCCGATGATGCTTGACTCAAGGAAACAGTTTAATAAAGCTGAAAATACTGTGTTAATGTGAAAGTATTATTTAATCAACTGTGGTCAACTGTATAAAGGTGCATACCAACTTTTGGAGCTGTGACTAATATTTTTAAGCCCTGCAACCTTTGTGACATGGTTTCCCACTCCAAATGGAGAATGGCCCGGGCTGGTTTGAAGGGTGATGTCCAGCAGGTGTTTGAATGTGGTGGAGGCTTCATGTAGCCCAAATGGAACAACCTCGTAGTGTCAGTGGCTTACGGGGTCACTGACAGAGGTTTGGACTCTGGCTTTTTATTTTGGAAGAAAAGTAAAGCATTGGAGCTCAAGTTTGCCTCTTTAAGCTAGAAACAAACGAAGCGTCAACAGCATCAGTGCGCCCTCACTCAGCACTCAATCTCACCAGGCAAACTGACTGTTTTTCTCATGGTAGTAAAACAAAAGAAGCACAGCTCTCTCTGTTCAACCGATTCCAAGAGCTTCTGCAGGTAAAACAGATGCAACATTCAATACGAAGCTGAAGTTGACATTTAAATAAAATCACTTTTAATGTCTTTTCTGTAAACTTTGTTGAGCTTGGTCATTTTGGTTTCTGTTGTCATTTAAATTAAATTTAAATTAGTCATTTAGTTGGCTGAGTTAGTTTTAGTGCTCCCAATGTTCCCAAAAATCATCAAAAATTATCTTCAAATATAAAAGTTTTTTTTTTTTAATTAAGTTATGTAATACTTTTAAAATTATTTTCGTGTGTAGTTGCACTACTCTTTGTGTATACCAGTATGCATGTCATGGTTATCTGTGTACCATGAATTTTGTATTTTAAGGTTAAATGACAGACTGACTTGTTTAGGACTTGGAGATTAGGGCTATTGACTTGGGACTCGACTGCACTAACACAGGACTTAAGTGAATAGGGCTGGTCCAGGTGCTGATTGACAGCTCCTCGTAGCATGATGGCATGCTCATGAAATTTGACAGTGCCACTCTCAGATGGAACGGCAAAGGAGGCACAACCCCTGAGATACGGGTTACATTGGGAAAACTTCAGACAATGCATGAGCAACTGCACATTTATTAGGAGGACAGGCACTGAGGTGGTTTAACCAGTCCCAAAACTCTCCTTGAGGAAGCTTAGTATTATCTGTAGTTACTATCTACAACCCCATTTCCAAAAAAGTTCGGACGCTGTGCAAAATGTAAATTAAATTAATATACAATGATATGAAGATCATTTAAGCCCTATATTTAATTGAAAATAGTGCAAAGACAACAAATCAAATGTTGTAACTGAGAAATTTTGTTGTTTTTGGAAAAATAAATGCTCATTTTAAATTTTATGCCAAGAACAAGTTCCAAAAAAGTTGGGACAGGGGCAACAAAAGGCAAGTAAATTTGTGTAATGCTATAAACACCTGCTGACTGATTGGCAACAGGTCTGCAACATGATTGGGTATAAAAAAGCATCCCTGAGAGTCTTTCAGAAGTAAAGATGAGGAGGAGTTCACCACTCTGTAAAGGATGGCATGAGCAAATAGTGCAACAATTCAAGAATAGCTTTTCTTAACATAAACGAGCGAAAAACATTTGCTTTTCATCATCTACGATATAT